GCCCGATGCGGGACTCGATCCCGGGACTCCAGGATCATGACCCGAGCCGAAGGCAGTCGCCCAACCAACTGAGCCACCCAGGCGCCCGAGCTTTCTTATTTCTTATGGCTGCCTACGAATCCTTAGTGATCTAAGGAGACACAGAGCATAGGCTTGGGGCCAGGCTGTCCTGGGTTCGAATTCAGGTCTGCCCATTGGTAGCTGTGTGAGTTAGAGCAAGTGGCTGGACCCCTCCAGGCCTCAGTCCTCGTGTGTAAACTGGAGATAGTGTTGGGTACTTTGTGGGGCATGAGGGATGGTTAAATGAGGTGATACACGCTAGGTGTTGAGAAGGGTGCTGGCATGTGCTCAGCGCTGCCTGGGGGTGGTGCTCTTGGGGTTTCATCCCTGACGCGATTGCTGTGGTTCGCCCCGCACTAGCTCATTCCACACCCGAGTCAGCCGTGGCTTGGGAGGCTGCTGTATGATCCCCACTTCGCAGATGAGGACACTGAGGCTCGGGTCAGGTGACCCACCCAAGGGCGCAGAGTTTGTGAGGGCTGGGGCTCAACTCAAACCCCAGCCAGAGCCTGTGTATGGAAGTTCTTTGGCTGGGTGACCCCAGGGAGGTTGCTTGCCGTCTCTGAGCCTCGGTCCCCTTCTTCCTTCTCTCCTCACCTGTAGGCTGGGCTTGGAGGTTGGGATGGGGGGTGGTGGCTGGGTTCACGAACTGGGAAAGCCAGAGAGCCCTGACCTCTGGACCCTTTCTCTCACTTCCTGGGCCCTCCCAGAGCCTGCCCCCCTCAGCCACGTCTGCGGCCTGTGGGGTCACTCCTGCGACAGCCAGACTCACTTCCTCTCTTAGCACTCTTTCTTCCTTGCTCTGTACTCTGGGCTGCATTTTGCCTTTCTTGCTTTTCCCTGTGGTGAAGGACTGGTTTCTCTTGGACCCCTTCCCACCTCCACGGCGGTGAGAAGGCCTTCAGGTTGTTAACTAGCTCACCCTAGAGCAAGCTGGGTTATCCCTGGCTAGCGCTTAAGCATGAGAAATGCGTTCCGTTCAGCCAAAGCTAATCCAAGGCTAGACACGTCTCCAGAGGCTCCCGAGAGAGGGCTTTCGTGGATTTTGTCTCCCTTACGGTGGACTAGTAACTGCACTTGGGCCTTCATGTGTCCCCAGAGGTCCAGGCAGGGCTTGCTTTATGCCTAAGGATTTGGGAGGGTTCCAGACCATCCCAGGCTGGGGCCAGGGGGGCTACCGGTGGGCCCTGGTGGGGCTGAGCAGGGAGGGGCGTTCACAGTCGGGTCAGATGATGGAGGCTCTGTCTGAGGCTCGGGGAGTACCAGTCACAGCTTAGGGTCTCAGGTGCTGGGGTTTGCTGGGCAGAGCCTGGAGGGCAAGAAGTGGGCTGAGTCAGGGACGTTCCAGCCTCACGAGTCTTTTGGCTGTTTTTGGAAGCTCCCATCACGGTCCTGCCCCGGACCTTTGTACTTGCTGTGCCCTCTTCCTGCAACACCCTTCCCTCAGATAGGCTTCTGCTCAAAGGTGGCCTTCCGAGCAGGGACCCGACCTCCCCAAAGTTACTCTTGTCACCTTATACTGTCATCACTTGGGATTTGTTATGTGTCCATCGCCATGTCACCCGAACTAATTCCCCCAGGGTTTTGTTCGTCTTGGTCACTACTGTGTTCCTAGCACTGGACACATCATAGGTGTTCAGCAAACGGTTATGCCTGACTCAGTGTCCCCCACGGGCTGTGGATCTGGGCCTGTCCCCTTTCAGTGATTGAGGCCCTTCTGGGGCTGGACGGCTTCAACTGTGCCTCCAGGCAAGTCACACCCCCGAGGGCTCTGGCTGGGGAGACTCAGGTCCTTGCCTCCTCCACCCCAGAAGTTCTGCATCTGGGGCTTGAGAATGCCTTTTGGGGACTCCTGGAAAACTAGGGTCCTTTGAAAAGCAGTTCTTGTGTTTGTGCTCAAGAGTGCCCCACGGGAACTGTACCCCCGGAAGGTCTGCACCTCCTAGATAAAGTCAGAGAGGCGGAGGTCATGAGCAAGGCACGTGGGGGGCAGGGGAGGGGTGTAGACAGCATCAGCTTCGTGTATTGAGGGCTGACAAGGCGGGGCCACCACCGCGCATGCTTTAATTTATTGAGTTCTTCTAACAACCCTCTGAGCCACAGAGAGGGTAAGCATCTGGCCCAAAGACACACAGCCTCAGGCACACGGTGTTAGTAGGTAAATGGCATTTTGTGTGCAGCCCTGGGAAGGAGCCCCTTTCCCTCTCTGAGGGAGCCCCACTCATCCGGATCTGAGGCCCAGAGATGCCCACACTCTTCCTCGGGATGGCCTGGAGTTGGTTTCTCAGTGTGGGTCAGGAGCTAAAAGGCTGGAGGAGCCGCCCCCCCTTTCCTCCTCGTTGGCCATTTGCATGACAATGAGTCCTTTGTCCCTGGGTCCAGCCTCCTTCCCAGGCTAATAACATAATTCCCGGCCTGTGATGTCATAATGGGCCCTTTCTGCTGGGGTTGGAGGCTGGGTGGGCAGCTGTAGAGGCTGGGCCCTGGCGGGTAATAAATAGAGAGGTGCTGATTATCGGGGGGCCGGACGCGCTCTCCTTGCAGGATGCCGATTCATCCTCCAGGAGTGGGA